TGCAAGGATCCCGGGAGTCTGGGGCTGGTCCAAGCATCTCAGAGAATTATTACAAAACAACAACACCGCTCAGCTGGGGACACCGCTCAGCTGGGGTTGCCCACCCATCTGTTTGCTGTGAGCGTGGGTCACCGAGGGCAGCAGCAGGGTCCTCGCCCACTCTTGGGCCCGGGCTGCAGTTCCAGGCTCTGGCCCTCATCACTCCGTGCACTGCGACCAGGAGGCCTCGCCAACCCCACAGGCACACACATTCCTGTCCTGCATCTGGGACAGGGTGGCTGGACTCCAGCGATCTCCCATAAATATTTGGCCCAGCCCGCTCTCCGGCCCCAGCATCTCTTCACGCTGAGGGACATGGCGTCAACACACGTGGAAGCCAGCACAAGATATTATTTAGGAGAATATGAATTCCCCCTGGACTCGGAGACAATTCAGGATGTCTGGACAGACGGACAGGGCTGCCCAGAAAGGATTTTAGACATTGTCTAGTCTTTGTGCTATGGATGGGAAACTGAGGCCTGGAGTGGTGGTCCCACAAAAGGCTGGGCGGGACTAGAAGCCAGGCCTACGGGCTCCCAGCTCTGTTGAGCACTGGGGTGACTCTGCTCCAGAGCCCGTGGGTTCTGTGCTGAGCCGGCTCCCACCTCCCCACCTGTCTGTGAGGCCACCTCGGGCGGGGGCCCAGGGCTGCAGCCAGCCCTGCTCCCACAGCCTGAAGTCCTGTTGGCGGCTGCCTCCCCCACGCCTCTTGCTGGCCAGTGAAAGGGAGGTCATTGTATCCCAGGCTTGGACCGTCTGGGAACATGTGGCCTGGGCCACTGTGAGGTCAGTAAAACCCGGAACATCAACACCAAGGAGCCAGAATCTTTGCTGTTTTGCCCTCACCTCCGCAGTCCTCAGGAGAAGGCGGGTGGCTGCAGCAGGATTCCGCGCGCCTGGGGCCCCAGCCGGGCACCGTCCCACCACAACCTCGTCTCTTGACTTTTCTGGCGCTCATCTCCCACAGCTCACGGGAGCTGGGCCCACCTGGCCACCCGGGGACTCTGAGCCCCCTGAGAGCAGGACAGGGCCCCCCCAGCAGGCCACAGAGCAGTAACCTGCATGGACGTGACATCTGGCCCCGCCAGGCTGCCCCCAAGAGCGGCAGGGAGGAGCAGTGGGGATGAGAGAGGCCTGATGCTGCTACCCTCTGCCGGGTGTCGAGTCAGTTTCCAAATGAAGACAGTTAAGGACCTGCGCCTGATGGGCCCCACAGTGTCCAAGGACACAAGCCCGTCAATGACCCCGCAGCACCAGCTGATGACATTAAATCTGTGTGTTCTGAGATTGGCTGGCCCCTCTAAGAGTCAGCCAGTGACCCCCTGGCCCTTGGCGCTGGCTGCCTTTGTGGCCTCGGGGGACCCACGGGATAAGTTTCTGGCTGAGGCTGTGGGAAGAAGTCTCTGCTGGCCACCCCAGGGCATCTGTTCCTCTAGTCCTGCCAAGGGGGCCAGGAGGCAGGGGGATGGGGCCCCCGTGGGGAAAGGGGTGGGATGCTGGCTGAGGTGGTAGGGAGGGGATGCGGGAGCTCAGGGCCAGCTGCTTTAAGCCCCTGGCTCACCACTGTCCACCTGGGGGCAGTCCTAGGGCAGAGGTCCCTCACAGCACGGGCCAAACGAACGAGCACGTTCATGGGACCCTCCTCACTTCCATGCCAGCGTCTTGGGGAGTGGCCGCCACTCAGCGCCCAGGCCTCTCTCCGACTCAGGCTGGGCTGTGGCTGCAGGTTCTTTCCTGACCCCGTCTCAACTAGGCTATAGGCTCCTAGCAGGTGGGGGCGGCATCTTCCATCCCAGAGCCCCTGCGTCCGTCTCAATGCCCAGCATCCGACGGGCTCCAGGCCAACATGTCCGAGATTAATTCTAGAGCCAGGCTTGCAGTGGGGAAGGGGGACTGTGGAGAGAAGGGTGGGAGGGGGCAGAAGCTCAGCATTGGGAATAGATCCTTCAGGTTAGGATAAAATGCTAAACTGAGAACTCAGCTGAGAATCCAAATTGGCCAGATATGAGCTGATGGTGTCAAGTTCCCGCAGGCAGGGACTGGCTTGGAAAGCTCTCCTAAAGGCCCAGAACAGCACTGGGCATGGGGAGGAGCAGAAAATACCAAATGACGGGCAAGAACACACCACGGAATGACCCGGAAGGCAGGGACCGTGTACCCGGGACACCGCTGTCTCTGGGTCCCGGTTCTGAGGAACCTGTCTTAGCTCAATAATCAGTCATACAGGAGCATCATCAAAGGAAACTCATCCCAGGGCCGTACAAGGGGAAGAAATGGCCCAAACGCAATGTCCACACTGCTCATGGAGCCATGAGAGGACGACACAGACGCTCCAAGTGGTTCTCAGAGGCTATTTAAAGGAACAAGAAAACTATCACAACGTCGTAAGAGAATAACGCCACGTGTGCAAACCACGTGTGGGACAATCTTGCTTCTTTTGTAAAATCTGTAGACAGAGGTGAGGGACAGAAGCTGGAAGGAAATATGCTGACTGTTAACCTGGCTTCCTCTCGGGCGGAGTTAGAGGGGTTTCACTTACGTGTTCTTATTTTACAAATGTCCCCGATATTTACAGTGAACTACTGAAGCCCATCACCTCTTCAGCCAGACCCTGCCGTGGGCGAGCTTCCAGCCAGCAGAATCTGCTTCGCGACCTCCCATCCCCACACTGGGGTCACGAAAGGGAGGGCCCAGAGAGGTCAAGGGTGGCACCTGAGGGGTCAGGCTGGAAGTGAGGTCTGCACCCCGGCCCCCCACTCTTACCCCCATGCTGCACGGTTAGGGCTGGAAACAGTCATGAGCCTGCGTTTATAGAGCAATAAAATACTTTTTGACACAAGCCGTGAGCCAGTTCCAGGGGAGACAGAGAGGAGGGGCAGCCCGCAGTGTCCTACACCCCATTCCCAACCCGGCATCCATGGCGCCCCCACCTGGCCTGGCCCGCCTGTTACCCCAGGGAGGGATTCATCCTGGAAGTCTGGCCTCTGCTTCCCCCAGCCCCAGACCTGGCCCAGCCCGGCTCCCGGGCGCCGCAGGCCAAGGTACGGCCAGAGAGCCACAGGCTAGGCCTGGGGAGGCAGCCAGGGGCGGGGAGACAGCTGGAACCCCCTGTCCAAGAACAAGTCCCAGGTGGCTTTGGAGCGGCCGTGGGCTGGGAGGGGAAGTCTTCCCACCTGGTCTTCTCCCCTGCGAACCACACACGGCTGAGCAGATGCCAAGCTCACAGCTCTCCCTCTCCCTTCACAAATTAGAACCCAGCCCCAGACAAGGCTGGACGCTGCATGGACCCCTGCGGGGCCGAGGGGGCCTGAGCCACAGTCGGGGCAGACTGGATACCGCCCCACTGTGTCCTGGGGTAGAGCTGTGCCTCTCTCTCAAAGCACGCACCCTCTCTGGTCTCGGCAGGCAGCTTTGCACCCAGGAGGCAGGAAGCAAGCTAGACGGAGACATTCCCCCAGCTTCCTGCCCCCCAGCACGGCCTCCAGAGATCACAGGCGGGAGCAGAGCCCGGCCAGCGCTCCCGGGCTCTGCAACGCTGCCTTTGTCTCAGCTTCTCTGGCAGCCTGCTCCCACTGACGACAGAGCAACGTTGTTTATTTGCTAACAGGACCCAGATTCTTCCTGACCTCCAGGCCCTCTGAGGCCAGGATCGCTCTCCCCACCAAAACCCCAGATGGACACGTAGGATGTAGAAAAGGGGCAGGTGTCCCCAGATCTGGCTGTCCGTCCGCCCTCACCCCCCTCACGGCCACGTCCGTGTTTGTGCGTTTTTTGTTTCATTAGCTGGGTGCTCGGGCAGTCCACCAACCTCTCCGAGCTCAACTGGGAACACATGTCCTACGAGGTAACAGTTCCTACACCACAGCTGTCAAAGGGCCTGGCGGTGACTGCAGCCAGCATGACTGCCACCCCCGCTAACAGCCATTCTGCCCCCTGGGGACACTGGGTCATGCCGGGACCCATTTTTGGATGTCACAACTGAGAGTGCTCCGGGCATCGAGTGGGTGGAGGCCAGGGATGCTGCTGAACATCCTGCCCAGCCCAGGACGGACCCCACACAGAACATCTGTTCCGAAATGTGCATATGCCAAGGCTGAGCCACCCTGTGGTGGAAGCTTCCGCTCTGTTGTGAGGAGGAAACGAGAACAGGGCCCGGCACTGGCGAGCCCTCAGCTAACAGCGGCTGAAATTACGTTACCTCCTGCTTCCCCGCGGCCCCGGGCGGTCAGAGCGGAGATTGTGATGCTTCTTTCCAGCAAGGACCCTGGGGCCCAGGAAAGCGGCGTGCAGACCAGAGCTGGACCCCGGCCCCGGCCCCAGGCCCCTGAGGAAGCTGGTCGATGCAGCCCCGACATGGTCTGTGGTCTCGGGGGCTTCGGGTCCCGGGACCAGGACTTTCTGGAGCTGGGGTCGGGGTGGGAGGATGCTCCCTGGGGACTGCCAGAGCCCCCCTCAAGCAGCGCCCCCGACCTGTGACGTCAGCGAAGAGGGGCAGGGAGGACACATCCGGAGGACAAGCGCCTCCTCAGAGGACAGAAGACCCGCCGGGGCAGCGGAATTGCTTGGCTGTCCCCAGCCTTGTTTCCAAGGAGGCAAAGGAAACAACGTGTTACCCTGACTTGGGAGGGTGTGCCCTGTGCCTCTGAGGAGGGGAGCACGGGGCAGCTGTGCAGGCCGAGGCTGAGGCCGGCCCCTGCAGAAGCTCGGGGTGGCCCCAGCGCATGCCAGGCTCCGGCCGGAGCACGGGTGGTACCCGACTTGGACCCGCTGCTCTTCCTCGGTTCTAACAGCCCGGGGGCAGGACCATCTGGCCCCACCTCACAGTGAGGGACCAAGGCCCAGGGAGGCCAACAGACTTGCCCAAGAACACTCGGGCTCCCAAGTCCCAGCCCCGGGTGCGTTACCTTGCAGCACACTGCTGCCACTCACAGCCCAGGGGACGGTGGCCAGCTGGTACCTACCAGGTGCCCGGCGGCTCTCACCAGCTTGTGGGTGGAGAAAGGGAAGGCCTCGTTGCTCAGGTCTGCGTCGAGCACCTCCTGGAGAATGGCCCGGCTGCAAGCAAGAACAAAGTCGGTCTGTCAGTCAGTCCACAAACACTTGCCCAGCGCTCCTGGGTGCAGGCCCTGGGCCGGGAAGGCACTGGGGATGCAGCAGTGAGCGGGACAGGTCCCTGTCCTCAGGGGCCAGACCGACAGCGAACATGGTATTAATATAAGCGCACCAAGACAAACACACGCCAAAAACACGGTCAGATGAGAAAGCGACCTTCAGGGGGAGTGGTGACAGGAGCAGCCGAGCCCGGGTGGAGACCAGACTCACAGAAGCGGCCCCACGGTGCTCTCCTCCTCAGATGGGCCAACAGGGCCCGGGCAGTGATCTAACTGCCTAACGCCTCCCAATCCCCCAGGCCAGTGGGCAGGTGTATGAGCCCCCAAGGGTGGCAGGCGCTTCTCTCCTGCCCACACCGCACGCCCAGCACAGTCGGCTCTCATGCTGGAGGGGTTGCCCAAGACCTCACAGCGTTCACGGAAACCTTCACTTCCTGGGCACCTTGCCCTTCTGCCTCCCTCCGGCTTGGTTCACACCTCCTGCACCCTCCACATTCCCACCCAGGTCCCTGTCCCTGTTGAACCCTGAGTCATGCTTCCGGTCTTGGATCTGCTGTCACATCCTCCAGGAAGCCCTCCCTGACTCCCTCAGTCTGGGTTTGGTGTCCCCCGCCAGGGCGCCCCCACACTGGTTGTGCCCCCACTAAACCAAGAGGTCCATGCCAACAGGGCCCCTATCCTGACATGCCTGGCACAGAGAGGGCCCTGGGTAAAGAGGACTGATTGAGAACGGCTGGCTTCGCACTGCAGGGAGAGCTCCCCATTGGCAGGAGATGGCCCTCCACTTCTGCCCCACAGGGGTCCCAGTGGGTGCTGGGGCTGCAGGGTGGCCGCTACCTGGAAATGCTGCCCACTATAATCCCCACCCCCACGGGGCCTGGAGCTGCCAGCCCACACCGGCCCGAGGTGCCTAGCGTGCTGCAGTCAGCCAAGAGACTTATGTAACACCTGCCCACACCCACGCAGTGCCAGCCCGCAGAGAACCCATATCCCGTCCTCAAGGAGCACGTCCTCTCTGCGGCCCTGGGGGCGGCTGGGCCAGAGCAGGGGAAGGAGCCTGGAGGGCTCAGCAGCGCCAAGGGAACCTCTTGCTCCGGCCCATGTCTGGGGTGCGGGAGGCCACCCCTCCCTGAGGGAGGCAGCAGCTGGTGCTGGAGGGCACAGCTCCCAGCCAGAGACCCAAGATCAAGTCCCAGCTCCTCTGCTCACCCCCTCACCCCATCTAGCCTCAGGCCCGTCATACTCAGGGACAGAGATGCCACCTCACAGGGCCCTTGTGAGGAACCAGTGAGACAGCACACGCCAAGCTGCGTGGCATTAATAATTAACACAGTGATCACTCACTTCTGCACTGACAACACTGTCCCTGCCAGCCACATGCGGCCACTCGAGTTTAAGTTAATTAACATCCAAACTTCAGTCTCACCAGCCACATTTCACGGGCTCAGTGGCCACATACGGCTTAGTGGCTACCGTATCAGACCACCCAATTATGGACTGTTTCCAGAGAGTTCTATTGGACAGCAGGTCATAGAGCATCTCCCGTGGTCCAGATGCTGTGCTAAACACTTGCCACGTAACAACTCAGAAAGTTTAGCCCTTATCGGTGGTGCTGGTAACACTGTTATTCATACAAGAAACTTAGGGTTATTTTTGAAAGAGAGAGGGCACTTTGGAGGAGAAAGTTAAGAAATTACCAGGAGGAGGAGAGCTTCTTCCTCTCCTGGCAGCCATCACTCGCCTCCCACCTGGAGCAGCTTCTAATGAGGCTGGAAGAGGCTGGCCTGTCTCCCGGGGCTGTGCCTTGATCAGTCCGTCTGGCGCCCCCTCGCTCCCCTCCCCATCTGCCTCCTCCACACTAAAAATAGCCCACTCCCTGTCCAAGGTCGCCATGGCAATATAGCCTAGGCTTCCGAGGCCAGGCCTCGAGCTTGGACAGCCAGGACCCTCACCCCCATTCACCCAAGAGATGAGGAGGTCGGGCTCACCCAGGGGAGAAATGAAAACCACCCCCACGGTATCGGGGCTTCCTCTGGGCCAGGCGTGGGGCAGGCATGTTCCATGCATTATTCGCGGAGCCCCAACACCGCTCCCCTCCAGCCACCATCCCTGCTCCTCTCCACACATCTCCTTCCTCTCCTCCCCTCCTTCCCCAACACAGTCTCACCAGCCCTCCCTTGGGAGACTCTCGTCAAGTCCACAGGAGCCCCTGAGTGGCCAAACCCAACGGTCAGTCCTCGGTCCTCGTCCGCTGGGCCCATTGACCACCCGGACAGCTCCCACTCCCTCCTCCAAGTCCCTGCTTGGCTTAGCCCCGAGGCTCCTCACACACCTGCCGGCCTCCTACGCCCGGCCCAGCATCAGAGACCCGGTTAAAGCCCAGGTCTAAGCGTGTCCCTCTTCTGCTCAGTCCCCTCAACCAGAGGCACAGCCTCTGGCCCTCAGGCTCTCACTCCGCTGCCCGCTGAGCACCTCTCCCCCGCCCTGGCCTCCCTGCTCTTCCTCAGACGCACAGGCGCTGCACCCGCTGCTTCCTCCGCCTGAAACACTGTCCCTTGAAGAGCTCCAAGGCCTGAGCCTCATGTCCTCCAGGGCTTTGCCCAAATGTCCCCTTAATAGATGTTGGTTTTCGTGGGCAGCCCGGAGTCACACCCTTGATGGTTAGAGCACGGAACCAACTCAGCCAACGAACTATTCACTTGTTCAGCAAGCACATACTGCGCGTCTGCCGCGCGCCCCTGAGCCAGGCGGTGCCCCCACAAAGACGGCCACAGCTCAGCCTGGGCAGCGAGGTCGGCCAGTCCAGGACCCAGCTGGGGAGCCGCTGGCTTGGCCAACTCTGAGGGACCTGGGAAAATGGAGGGTGGTAGGGTGTGAGCACACTGACTGGGGATCCCAGCGAGACCTCGGATCCTAGCAAGACCGCCAGGCTAACAGGGGTGTCCCCGGGCCAGAGCCGTGCTTCGTCAAAGCACGCAGCTTGACTAGAGGCTCATCCGCCCACTCTCTCTCCCTCCCGCTGCCTCAGGGCCGCCGATCCCATAGTCTTTCGGGAATACATCTTCCCTTCTACACGTTCTCCCTCCTCCCCTGACTCTTCCCCGTGCCGCTCCAGTCTGGCAGAGGACTGTGGAGGCCGCCTGACGTGTGAGTGCCGGAGCGCCCACAGCAGGTGCACCATCGTATAGATGCTCAAGGTGTGCAGCTTTCCGAGGGCTCGGGGCTGTGGGGGGTGCCCATTCCCATCAGCCCTGGCACTTGCTAGCTGTGTGACCCCGGGCAAATATCTCTACCTCTCTGTGCCTCAGCTTCCTCCCCAATAAGAACAAGAACAATTACAACCACCTCAAAGGGCTATGATCAGGATTGGAGGAGATGTTGGCACAGGGCTTGGCAATCACAGGCGCCCGGTCGGTGGCTGCTCACACGATTTCTCTTCCTCCCTTGTCCCCCACCCCTAGGTCCTTCTCCGAAGCCCAGCCAGAGGGATCTTTCCAAAGCACACGCCTGCTCAGGTGCCCCTTTGCCTAAGACCCTCCTGTGGCTCCACACACAAGCTAGCGTCTGAGGACTTCCAGGCTGTGATTCCTCGTGGTGGGAACACAGCTCAGTAAATACTTACAGGATGAATGAACGAGTGAATGATCCACTCACAGACCTAGTCCTTGGAGGTATTTAGGGAGGAGCTGGTGACCTCTCTGTGGGGTATTATTCTCAGCCCAGGGAGCAGGTAGAGCCCCGGCCTGGCTCTGCCCACTTAGAGATGGTGTACGTAATTCCTAGATTGTGTCAACGATCCAGAGACACCCCCCCATGGGCCCCTCCGTGAGCCCTGAATCCTCAGATATTGATTCAGGTAAGGTTCGGTCTGATTCTCATAGGAAGGGCTTTCCTGCATTCTAGTGCTTTGAAAGTGACTTATCCAGCGTGGCATCTCTGGGTTCACCAGAACGTCCCACACTGGACCAGTAAGTGGTTCTGCCCCCAGGATCCCAGTTGGATGGATTAGGCTCCAGGTCCCAGGTGTGCCCAGGTGTGCCCAGGGGCTTGGCTCCCTGTCCCGTCCTCACCTGGCTGGGCCCTGGATGCTAATCATGCCCAGGTCCTCGGAGCTGTCGAGGAGCCGGCACCGGAACTTCTGGTCCTGCAGCACCGTGGTGATGTGTGACCAGTTGTGCTGGGCCACAGCCCCGCCCACGGCCAGGTAGTAGCCGTCCCCTGGAAGAGGAGCATCAGACTTAGAGCGGGATTGCAGCAGGAGGGCGGGAGGAGGAGGGGTGGCCCGAGGCCTCCGGGCTGAGTAAACAAGGCTCTTCCCTCGAAAATGAACCGTGAAAGTCAGAGCATAGTGACATCCAGAGGGGCCCTGGATTCTCACAGTGCAAGACAAAAAGGGGTCCTGGGGTGTGGACCCCCGAGGGCTGCACGTGTCAAGGGGGCACTCTCCTGGGAGACTCTGAGGCTGTCACCCACATTTCAAAATGTTCCTGATCCAGGAAAGGGAAGAGCTCCCAGCGCCACCACACCACAGGGAGATTCTGCGTCCCACCTCAGCCGCCAGGGCTGGGCCACCTTGGACAAGTGTCAACTCCCGCTGAGCCTCAGCGTCCTCACAGCTCCCATTTCACTCCATATTCCCACAGCCCCTGGCCTCCAGGTTCCCCACCTTGGCCATATCAGGACTTGCTGGGACCAGGCGCTGGACCGGGTATTTACAGGCAATACCAGCGTGATCTCCCCAGGATGGTGACACTTGTCACCACCCCCAGGTTTCAGAAAAGGAGACTAAGGTTCAGAGAGGTCACATGGTGGGAGAAGATCGAACTCTGTCCAGCTCTAAGTCCAAGGCCTGTGGAGCACCCACTGGGTGACCCACTGGGTCATGCTGCCCCCAGGGAACAGAGGGCAGCCCACTTGGCCCAGCATCTTGGGAGAGCCACTGCCATGGGGACTTCGGACAGCTGCGTGGCCCTGGACCTGTCACACAGCCTCTGGAGCCTGCACAATCTCACCTGCAATTTGGGGCTGATGTACCTCATCTGCAGGGACCCTGTGGGATTCAGCCCTGGGGTGGGCAGACCCTCACTGATCACTCCCCCCGCGATTTGTGGGGCTGCCTGGGAGGGGCCAGAGGAGGCAGGAGGTGGGGGCTTCCTTCGTCTCCGCTATCTCTGCTCCTGCCCTCCCCATCCTGCCTCCTTCCTTCCTTCCTTCCTAATTCCTGCAGGGCTTCCTGCCTAGGAGCCATGGTACCCAGGGAATCCCTTGACCTGCCGGCCCCGGTTTCTCCATCTGTACAATGGGAATGAGACTGGACCCCTCACAGGGCTGCTGGGAAGATTTAAAGAACTACGGGGCACAGGAGCCCAGCCCAAGGGAGGGATGGAGAACCGGGCACAGGGATGGTTACACACTCAGATGCTCAGCCCCCTTCCCAGAGGGTCTGGTCCCGCCTGAGGGCTGCTTCTCTCGGCGCACCGGCCTGGGCAGGCCCAGCTCCAGCCCTCAGCCCCACTCTGTGCGGAGCCAGGGGGCACAGGCAGGAGAGGCGGCTTCAGAGGCAGGAGAACCCTGCCTAGGTGCCCGCCCCCAGGTCCCCCCCCAGAAGCTCCCCCACAGCAGTGGAACAACATGTCATCGTGATAATAGGTGCAGCCACCTACTAACTGAAAAAGAGACGCACCTCACTTTCTTTCTACGACAAGAAAGGGAGCAGCTGGTGGCAGAGAACTGGGGATGGAGGGGGCACAGGGCCTCTGCTCCTCCCTGGGAGCGCTCCCTCTGATGGGAGGTCCTGGGGCTGGGGTGGGCATGCAGCCCTGCCTGGAAGCTCAGAGCTAAGGACCCTCCTCTCGTGCAAACCCAGGGTTCCATCAGCACCAGCTGGGAAAGGGCAGAAAGAGCCTCTGGCCTTGCCGCCCACTGGCATCCCAGTTGAGATCCCAGCAGGGGCTGCAGTCTCCCTCCTGCCCCGTCCAGGTGAGCCCTGAGACGTTCTGACCTTGTCACCCCATGTGCTCTGCTCTTCTGCTCCCCAAGTCCTGCCTGTCCTTCCAGACCCAACTCAAAGGCCTCAGCCTCCAGGAAGCCCTCCTTGACCACCAGAGCTAGAAGCACCTCTTGACAAATGGCCAGACCCCGGGGTCACCCACAGCTCCCATCTCTCCCTCACTCCCGAATCCCAAAGGCCTCTCTGCCCCTTCTCTCCAGGCCCATGGCCGTAGCCCAGCCTGGCCACAGCATCTCTGGCCTGTCCCCTTCCTGCCCCCAGCCTCCAGTCACATCCTCCAGTCACCGTCTGAATGCCCAGTCCCACCACCTCACGCCCTTGCCCTCACAACGCCCAGGATTGTCCAGAAGCTTTTCACGACCTGCAGGAGCCTGCCCCACAGCCCCTGCCCGCTCACTGGACACTTGGTTCTGATGAGTATGGCTCTTCCCCAGGGCCTGTGCACACCCTCATCCGGGTCCTCACACTCGCTGCTGCCTCTCGGGACCTGAGCCACTCCTCCTCGCCTTCCAGGAACCAGCTCAAACATCACCTCCTCCGGGAAGCCCACCTACCCCAAGTTCTTCATGCCCCCAGTAAGGCCCTCACCCACGCTCACAGCCTTGTCTCCACCATCAGCCTCCCGCTGGCCAGTGCTACTCTCATGACACTGTTTTCAGCAGCCATTCCAGAGGCCCAGGAGTCCCCACCAGCCCTCAGTCCCTGAAGCAATCCCAAAGGACCCTGTGGGCAGTGAAGCAAACTTATCCCACCCCCTTGCCCGCCCCCCAAGAGACAGAAGCTCTGCACGGGCCAGAACCTTCTCTGTTTGGTTCCTTGCTGTGTCCCGATGCCACAGTCTGAGCCTGACACGCGGCGGGGGCTCCAGAGCTGTTGCTGAATTCTTGGAGGGTGGTCTGATTAACTAATGAGCCCCTCCTTCTCACCCCACCTCCCTCTCCCAGTGCCCAGGCCGGAGCTCTGGGGACCCTGATGCATCCCACTGAGGACGCAGCTAGATTTCCAGCAGCACAGAGCCAGGCCCGAGTGGGGGCTGCCAGGTTTTCTGAATGGGCTGAGCACTTCGGCTGACTGCTCCTTCCCCCCGGATGGCGCAGTTCGGCAGCACAGACAGCGGCAGAGTGCACACCTTTCTCCTCTGCAAATCCGGTCTCTCAGAGGTCCCTTCCTGGAGAAAGAGAATGCTTCCCACTCTCTGTGCAGCTCAGCCATCTTTCCTCCCTAAAGAGACGGGTTACAGGACTGGAGACTAGGTTGCTCTGTGTGAACCAAGGAGTAGGATCGGGGAGTTGAAGGGACAGAAGGCAGATACGGCTCAGTGCAGCAGTCAGGGCCGTGCAAACAAGGAACACGGGTACTGAGCTGCCCATCACTGGGGGCATGCACGCACAGGCGGAGGGACTGCAGAGGGCAAGCCAGGTGTCAGCTTGGGCACTGAGCTTGATTCCTTCTGAGGACCTGCCCCGGCCTGAGACTGGGAGTTACACGGGAACTGAGACCGCCAATTCAGCATAGATGTCTGCGGCAGGAAGGAGCTGACTCCTCCGAGAGGGAGGTATGGCCTTAGTCTCGGCTCACTCAGTTCCGGGCAGGCAAGCCGAGCCCGCCCACGCTGTGGCCGCTCGGCAACGCCACGGTGTGGACAGGTTCAGAGACATAATCACTGAGCACTCAGAGCTCCCACATCGCCGCCTGAACCAAGACCTCTAATCTCGCAGGCCCGACCTCGGCGGGCACAGTAGGTAATTACAGAGCAGCACTCGCAGCCCCTCCCGGGCCATCCTGCTGTCCACGGCTGCAGGGCCCCAGAGCAGGGCTGCAGACCCGGCATCGCTGTGCCCTTGGGGGCCTCTCTTACCTTCAAAGGCGGGGGCCAGAGGGGAGGCCTGGGCGCCGGGGGCCAGGCGGCTGACGGTCAGGTCGCTTTCAGTGCCCCCACGGTGGTTCAGCATGCAAGTGTACACTGTCGAGCCTGGGGCAGGAGGAGGACCCAGGTCTGTGCCGGCCCCAGTGTCTGTGAGCCGCTCAGCGGGCACGGCCCCTCAGCACAGGGTAACACACACAGGTGTGGACAATCACTTGGCAGGGCGCCCTAGTGGGCGTGACTTCAAAAGGCCCTCAGCTCAGACTGAGTGACCCAGAGAGAGATGGGAGGTCACCCAGCACTGCCATCCTCGGAGAAGGAAAGACCAGGAGGGAAGCTTCTTTCCTCTTGAAATGCCGCGACCTTGACTCCTCCCAGCCCCCACCAGCACCCCGAGAAGATTGTAGGGGCAGGACTCTCGTCTCATTCACTTTGGGGCGCCTAGCCACAGGCCTGGCACAGCAGAAGCTCCGTGAATGTCTGTTGAATAAATGAATATGGGGATGGGAGATGGATGGAGTGGGGAGGGGAGGGCGGGGGCAGAGGGGGAATGGATGAAAGGGGGAGCAGACGGATGGGGAGATGGGTGGGCAGGAGGAGGGGATGGGTGGGGGTAGATGCGTGGTGGAAGGATGAACGGGTGGGGGTGGATGAACGGGAGGGTTAACGAGGGTGAGGAGGAGGTGCATGTGTAAGTGGGTAGGCGAGGTGGTTGGTTGGCTGGATAGATGGTGTTATGGGTTGAATTGTATCCCCAAAAAAGGTATGTTGAAGTCCTAACCTGCAGTGAATATGACCTTGTTTGGACATAGGGTCTTTGAAGATATAATCATGTGAAGATGAGGTCGTTGGGTGGGCCTAATCCAGTATGACTGGTGTCTTTATAGGAAGAGGAAAATGCAGGGAGAAGGCTGTGTGACAACAGAGGCGGAGATTAGCATGGTGCGGCTGGAGCCAAGAGACACCAAGGACTGAGCCACCAGCAGCTGCTGGGAGAGTAGTCTGCCCAGACTCTCAGGGGGAGCGCCACCCTGCTGACACCTTGATTTCAGACTCCTAGCCTCCAGAACAGTGAGTTTGTTTAAATCCACCTAGTTCATGGTACTTTGTTAGGGCAGCCCTAGGGAATGAATACAGATGGGGATGGGTGAGTTTTCGGGTGGGTGGACGGGTAAGTGAGATGGTGGGTGGGTGGGTAATAAAAAAGATGACTATCCCAAACATTGCATGAGACATACGTATACCAAAAATTGTTCATTCCTCATCTGAAATCAAATTAACTGAGCATCCTGTATTTTTATTTAGTTCTGGAAACCCTATTTGGGGAGCAAATCCCTGTGGGGTGAGTGGATGGGTTCCCCAGGCCCAGGAGACATTTTCTGAGGGCCTGCTGCCTTGAATCCTTTCTGGAACAAAGTAAGAGGAAAGGGAGGAGGGAGGAGGAACAGGCAGCGTGGAGGGAGGGATGAGGGATGGTCGTGCAGCCCTAGTGCCTGGGGCTTGGCGATGAGGGCAGGGGCCCAGGGCCAGGCCGAGGGGCAGAGCCATGTGCTGGAAGACCCATGTGCTGGAGGAGACAAGGTCGTCCTGCCACCTCATCTCAGGGCCTGGGCTGGGCCCAGGGAGTCCTGCCTGGTGCTGAAGTGGGAGAGGAGCATGGCCCGCCCTGGCTCCGTACCTGGGGGTCGGCTGACATCAGCGGAGAAGAGCCAGTCGGCAGCCTTCCTTGCGTCCAAGCCCACCAGGTAGAACTTCCCGAAGTAGGACATGTTGAACACAGCAGCGGCCCCTCTGCAGGCCAGACACTCCTTCTTGATCTGTAAGGACCCAGGGAGGTGCGATGCCACGGGGGCTCTGAGATGTGCTCCTCCCCTAGAATGTGGGCTCTGGGGCTCTCTGGGCACACCTGCTGAGCGCCCCCACCGTGACAGCCTTCTTGAGCACAAGTAACAATCTCTAGGGTAGATCACAGGCCATAAAGCCAGACTCAATAAATTCAAAAGAATTAAAATCATACAAAGTATGTTCTTGAACTACAGTGGAACTAAATCAGAAACCAATAGCAGAAGGAAAATTGGAAAATTCACAAATGGGTGAAATTAAACAACACACTCCTAAATTACCAGGGGGTCAAAGAAAAAACCACGAGGGGCATTAAGAAATACTTTGAGATGAGTGACCATGAAGGCACAACGTAGGAAAAAAGATGGGATGAGGCTGAAGAGCGCTCTCAGGAGGCTTGATGCCTGAACATGCCCGGACGGTCGTGTCCCACTTGAGACATTTCGGTCAATGACGGACCACATATACAACGGTGGTCCCGTAAGATTGCTACCATGTAGCCTAGGTGTGTGGGAGGCTGTACCATCCACGTATCTGTAGTACACTCTACGATTGTCACACAGTGACGAAATCGCCCAATGATGCATTTCTCAGAATGTGTCCCCGTCGTTAAGAGACGCGTGACTATCAGAAAAGGAGATCTCAAATCAATAACCTAACTTTCCACTTTGAGAAACTAGAAAAGAAGAGCAAATTAAACCCAAAGCAAGCAGAAGGAAAGAAATAAAAACGATTAGAATGGAAATAAATGAAATAGAGAATAGAAAGATTGAGAAAATTCGGCAAAATTAAAGTTGGTTCTTTGAAAAAATGAACAGAATTGGCAAACCTTTCGCCGGACTCAGCAAGGGAAAAGAGAGAGGACTGGACGTACTAAAATCAGGAATGAACGTGGGGACGTCACTCCCCCTCATGGAAAGAGAAAGAGTGATAGGGAATGCTGTGGACAATTACACCAACAAGTTAGACATGAAATGGGCAAATTTCTAGAAAGACACAAATTACTGAAGAAGAATAGAAAATCTGAATAAATCGATAACAAAAAAGGGATTGAATTAGTAATTTAACGTTCCCCACAAAGAAAAGCCCAGGCCCAGATGGCTTCACTGGTGAATTTTATGAAACATTCAAAGAAGAATTAATACCAATTCTACACGGACTCTTCCAAAAAAATGAGTAGGAACCACTTCCCAACTCATTCCATGAGGCCAGCATGACCCTGACGCCAAAACCAGACAAAACCTCATGAGAAAGTGCCGACCAATATCCCTCATGAATATAGATACAAAAACCTCAACAAAACACTAGCAAACCAAAACCAACAACATATAGAAAGAATAACCCACCATGATCAAGTGGGATTCACCCCAGGAGTGGGAGGCTGGTGTAACGCCCCAAATCAATCGATGTGATGCACCATCAATAGGAGAAAGGTCAAACCCACAGGGTCATCTCATAGACGCAGAAAAAGTATCTGACAAAATCCAACACCTGTTCGTGTAAAAACTCCAAGTAAACAAGGAATAAAAGGGCACTCCCTCAAGCTGATAGAGGGCAGGTGCAAAAGTCCCACAGCTGGCAGTACACTTAACGGAGAAAGACTGAATGTGGCCCCCTAAGTTCAGGGAGAAGACAGGGCTGTCTGCTCGGCTGCTTCTACTCAACGTGGCGCTGGAGGTCCTGGCCGGGCAGCCGTGAGGCAAGAAGGAGAAACAAAAGGCATCCAGATGGAGGAGAAGTAAAACTGTCTCTATTTGCAGATGACAAGACTTTGCACATAGAAAATCCTGAGGAACCCCCCTAAAAAACTATTAGAACTAATAAAATAGTTCAACAGGGTTGCAGGATACAAGGTCAATATACAACAGACAAACAAAAAGATGCTGTATTTCTATACACCAGCAACGAACAATCGAAAGTGAAATTCAGAAAATTATTCCACTTACACCATCAAAGCGAATTAAAAAGTGCTTATGAATAAATTTAACGAAGTGCAAAACCTGTACTCTAAAAACTAGAAAATATTTTTGAAACAAATTAATGGAAAGACATTCCACGTTTATGAAATGAAGACTTACTGCTGTTAAGGCAATAATACCCCCCCCAAACTGATCTACAGACTCAACACAATCTCCGTCAAAACCTCAGCTGGCTTCTTGGCAGAAATTGACAAGCTGATCCTAAAATTCTTACAGAGATGCAAGGGACCCAGAATATTCAAAACAATCTTGAAAAAGAAGAACAAAGATGGAGGACTCACATTTCCTGATTTCAAAACTTACTACAAAGTTCCCGTAATAAAGACAGGGGTACAACGTAAAGATAGAGATACAGATCAACAAAGTAGAACTGAGATTCCAGAAATAAACCCTCACATTTGTGGTCAATTGATTTTCCACAAGGGTGCCAGACAACTCAATGGGGGAAAGAATAATCAACAAGTGGTGCTAGGCAACTGGACCTCCACGTGCAAGAGAATGAAGCTGGACCCCTTCCTCCCGTCATACACAAAACTTAATCAAAATGGATCACAGACTGAAGCATAAGAGCTGAAACTATAAAATTCTTAGAAGAAAATATGAGAGTAAACCTTTGTGGTCTTGGTTAGGAAACACCTTCTTAAAAGTGACACCACAAACTCAGGGGACAAAAGAAAAAATATGTAAGTTGTAATTCATCAAAATTAGGATCTTTTTTGGACGGCCAAAAATGATGGCCAACAATGGCCAAAGGATGTAGAATGGGCAACAACGCCATCAAAAAAGTGAAAAGACAACCTACAGAATTGGAGGAGCATTTGCAAATCATAGATCTGATAAAAGACTTGTATCCAGAATATATGAAGAACTCATAACTCAATAAAAAGACAAATAACCCAATTTAAAAATGAGCAAAGGATCTGAAGAGACATTTCTCCAAAGAAGATACACAAATGGCCAATAAACACATGAAAAGATGCTCAACATCATTCGTCATTAGGGAAATGCAACAGAAAACTACAGTGAGATACCACCTCGTACCCACTAGGACGGCTAGAATCAGAGCAGACAATAACAAGTGTCGGTGAGGGTGTGGAGACATTGGAGCCTCAATGGAGGAGTGGAGACACTGCTGGTGGAAGGTAAAGTGGGGCAGCCACTTTGGAAAACAGTTGGCCGTTCCTCATAATGTCAACAGAGAGTTACCATGGGACCCAGCAACGGCACTCCTAGACGTATGCCCGTGAGAAATGAAAACATGTCCACACAGAAACCTGTACACACATGATCATAGCAGCATGATCCGTAACAGCCAAAAAGTGCAAACCACTCAAATGTCCACCAACGGATGAAGGGATAAATAGAATGTGGTATATCCATATAAGGGACGACTGTTCAGAATAAAAAGTAAGAAGTACTGACATCCCACAACACGGATGGACCTTGAGAACGTTACGCTAAGTCAAAGAAGCCAGACACAAAGAACCACACATTCTATGATTCCATTTATGTGGAATATCCACCGAGTAAATCCACAGAGACAGAAAAGATTAGTGGTTGCCTGAGGGTGGGGCTGGGGTGGGGGTCGGGGAATGGGGAGTGACTGCTAATGGGTGTGGGGTTTCTTTTGGGGGAGACGAAAACGTCCTAGATTGTGGTGATGCTTGGACAACCCCGCAAACTTACTAAAAAGCATTGAGTTGTGTACTTTAAATGGAGGGATTGTTTGGTAAGGGAATCACATCTCATCTCAATAAAGCTGTTTTAAGAATAAAGAACACACCATCTCTCCTCATTTCCCTCCCCACGGTGTACAAATTCCCCGACCGGGTTTTCAGGGTCTTCTATTATCCACTCGTTTTTCCTGCTTGGTCTTCTCTCCCAGTGCCAGTCCATCTTTGCTCTAAACACATCTGCTGAGCACATGTACCAACCCCACTGTTATTACTGAAAAAAATTGTAACAGCAAAGCTACCCCTTGCTGAGCACTCACCGCATGTCAGGAGCCCGTGCCCTCTCCTCCCACCCCACAGCCCCTATGCCACCACCGCACGAGGTGACTGCTATTGGCAACCTGGTGCTCCAGTGCCCCCTGAGCCCAGGGAGAGTAAACCATCTGCTCAGGGTTAGACAGGTGCAAAATGGCACAGCCATCCATTCAGCCAGGTCTGTCCCGCGGGGCACCGACCATGAGAGGTGGCAGTGCATCTCTTCCCAACCCCGCACTCAGTGATGGCAGGTGGGCGGGTCAGGTGGGTAGGTGGTCAGAGTATTTACACAGGGGAAACTGGCCAGTGCCACGAATCAGAGCCGCGCCCCCCCCCAACCGAAAGCTGGTTGTTAAACAGCACCCCGCTGAGTCTGTGCAACTCCCAGCTGTGGCTGCCCCACCGCGCTCCCCGCCCCACCACCCTTATGGAGCTCCTACGCGACCCCCCCACAGTCGGGCACTGCAGCACCTTCTCTCAGGCTGCTGGGGCTTCCGACAAAACCCCAAACAGCTTCCTGGGCTGCCTGTCATCCCCCAGGCTGGGGAAGTTGCCAGCGCTGAGAACAAGCGTGTGTTTCATGCTTTGGGACCATGCAGGCGCGTTTTCGGAGGCTGGAGGAAGCCACGAAGCCAAGTTGGCATCCCCAGCGAGTTCCCACATCCTCGAGGGCCAGAACATCCCACAGGCCTTAGAAGCCGCCGTGCGGAGGTGCCAGACGGGGCCCCACTCACGCCCCCGAGAGAGGCAGGCCCCAGGGACTGGGGCGCTGGGATGGGCCTGCGCTCCCAGCTTTGGGATGTGCACGCCTCCTGCCTCCATCTCAGAAGCCCCCTCCTCCAGCGCCTTTAACAGACACTATACCGCTAGAGCCAGCTTTGGGGGAAATCGTGGGAGTTAACGGTTCCTTCCCTTTGGGACCGGCTGCAGAATTTGTGAGGCTCAGTGCAAAATGAAACTGTGGGCCCTTGTTCAAAGAGCGTGAAGCGCTTCAAGGCGTGACAGCAGAGTGTTAAACCCAGCCAGGGCGCTTCTGAGTGCGGGGCCTGCGTGTCTCACAGGTGGCATGCCCAGGAAGCTGGTCGGTGCCTTCCCCAGAGGCCCAGGACCCCGTCACGGATGCTCCGCAGGCTGCCCTGGTCTCCGGGGACCCCCAGGCTGAGGCCTCAGCTCTGCTCCCACATCAGACACTCCACTTCCGGAGCAAGAGGGGCAGCGAGCAGGCCCCGGACCACAGACCCTCCCTCGGCTGGGGTCTCCTCTGCTCGTCACCCAGAGGGGCCCGTCTTGAATCTACTTGTCCTGGACCTACTCTGTGAGAGCTCAGGCCGGAGCCCACCATGCTGGCCCCTGAAGAAGGAACTGGTCCCTCACAAAATCTCACACAGGCCCCAGAACAGCTCCGAGGGCAGGAGGGAACAGAAGCTCAGAGAGGTGAAGGCTGTGGCCTGAAGCCACACAGCCAGACCCAAGCCTGTCTGCCCCCCAGCCCCGCCGCCTCGAGCAATAATAGTACTGTCAGTCCCGACTGCTGGCAAAGTCTTGGCACAGACCAGGGAGAAGAGGAGGAGAGCAAAATATCACCTGATTCCTCCTCAAAACTGAGTCAGCCAAAAACAGAGGTGAATAGGGAGCCGGCAGAGACGGGGCAGGGCCTCTGCAGGGCCCCGAGGGCCAGCCCCAGGGAGCCCCACTTTCTCTTCCAGCAGGGGACTGGGCTCCTTACCACATCATGGTGGGGCGGGAAGTCGAAGGTGTACTCATCGCCCAGCAGCCTGCTGTAGGCGTCGTCCTCATGCGCCGTGTTCCCATAAGCCCCGTAGTAGTCGTAATGGAGGACCTGGGAAGCAGGCGTGGGCATCACCAGCCGCCCTCCCTCCCCTCCTCTCTACACAAACACGGCATGGGGCCTGCTGCTTGGCAGACACTGAGCTGGGCCCCGCAAAGAGGAAGGAGGACAAGACAGACCTGGCCCCGCCCGCACCCAGCTTCCCTCCAGCGGCTGTGCTGTGCACGAGGGTGGGCGTGGGGTGGGGGGTCACACATTCCATCCACAGTGGCACAAATGACACCTTTATGCCCGTGGTGGTGGTGGGCCTGAGAGCCAGTGGAGAGGTGGGCCGAGCAGGTCAGGGGCCCAGGAGGATGGGGAAGAACTAGAGTGAACTCAAGGTGGGGAGACACAGGGCTGAAGGGGAGGCAGGGGCGGGTCCACAGGGAACTCGGGGCCACCGTCAGGGCTTCCAAGTCAATGCAAGGCAGTGGCATGAGGCCCAGGGACCAGGCTTACTGAGGAAGAGGGTGACGGAGGTGAGGAAGGAGGCTCCATGAGGAACAGGATGGCAGAGGTGAAGAAGGAGGCTGGGTGAGGAAGAGGGTGACAGAGGTGAGGAAGGAGGCTTGGTGAGGAAGAGGGTGACGGAGGTGAGGAAGGAGGCTGGGTGAGGAAGAGGGTGACGGAGGTGAGGAAGGAGGCTCAGTGAGGAAGAGGGTGATGGAGGTGAGGAAGGAGGCTGGGTGAGGAAGAGGGTGACGGAGGTGAGGAAGGAGGCT